GTTCTCCACATGGTGCTGGTCCAACCATGCATTCATTTTTCGCTTTATTATTCTGTAAACAAAGATGAGAAAATTAGTGACGGAAAAGCTCATCGCCGCTATAACGAGTACAGCAGAATAAATGGGCGATTAGTATTTTATTGATATTTCAATAACTCCTAATTGTTCAGACCTTATTATTTTTTCAAAAGATTCGCCGTAGAATTCTGCACAATGTAATATAACCTAATTAACTAATAGATTTTTCTTTCTTTCTAGAGCACAACTGTTTTCAACAACAAGATTTAAACAATTTTCTAAATCTGATATTTTTCGGAGAAAGTGTTTTCATTCTTCGGTCTTTGCGGCTTGTTTTATGACATGTTTGATGATTATTAATGCAAGCAGTGTGTTACCAGTTATTACTTTCAATGGATTAACCACCAAAACGAGCTGTAAACATGCGAAAAAGTAATTTGCAATGATTAAAGAATGAAAAACTTTCTCTGAAAAATATCCAGATTTAGAAAATTGTTCAAGTCTTGTTGTTGAAAACAGTTGTGCTCTAGAAAGAAAGAAAGAAAAATCTATTAGTTAATTAGGTTATACCACGTTGTGCAGAATTCTAGGGTAAATTTTTTGGAAAAATAATAAGGTCTGAACAATTAGGAGTTATTGAAATATCAATAAAATACTAATCGCCCATTTATTCCGCCGCACCCTTTGCTATAGTCGTGAATCACGAGATGTTAGTCTCCATCACGATCACGATCATGAATTTTTTCCTCAATCACGGTCACGTCACGATCACGAAGAAAGCTTTTTTGCCACTCACGGTCACGATCACGATTTGGAAAAAAAAACTTAATCACGCACGATCACGCTCACGCGTGAGCGTGATTCGTGATCGTGACCGTGATTCGTGATTCACGCAGTACACTACCCATCGTCCTGGTACAAATTAAAACAAATTATTAGTAGGTCGAATACAAAACCAAAAAAAACCAAAAAATGATTGATTTAACACTATATTTTTGTCCAGAGTGTGAAAGTGAATCTAGTGATTCAGATAAATGTACTAATCCGTATTGTTCATACAACACCAACACATTAATACCACCTCACATATGTATGATAATGAATATTCACCAACAAATTGAACAAGTCTTAAGATCGATCAATCGAAATGATTTACATTTACCAGCGGATAAATATAGAAATTCTAAAAAATCAATGGCTGATATTCAAGATGGACATGTTTATACAAACATCTTACACTCATTGGAAAATGAACGTCAATCAAAGTTTATATCTTTAACATGTAACATTGATGGTACAGCAGTTTATACAAGTAGTGAACAAAGCATGTGGACCTTCACAGCTTGTATAAATGAACTGAAGCGAACAATACGTTTTTCTATTGAGAATATTATTGGTAAAAAACTTGTCAAAATTTATCCTTTTGGATTTTTCTCTATATTTTAGTACTAGCAATCAGTGTAGGCCGTAAAAAACCATCACGAATCATCATGCAAAAGATGCTTTCTCCAATAGTTCTACGTCTGCAAGCATTACAAAAACCAAATTTGTATCAAACTTCTATCGATTCATATGATATACTGCGCGTTTATCTTATTGGAATTTGTAATGATAAACCTGCGAATAGTCTTGTTCAGAATCAATCCGAACCAAATGCATTGTACGGTTGTTCCAAATGTGAAATTGCTGGTTATTATCTTTTATTCTCGTCTAACAAACCACGAAAAATTTTAAAAAAAAAACCGCGGTTTAAAAAACCGCGAAAGTCAGACCGTTTATGCGTTTCTCTAAAAACGGTCAAGATCGCGGTACATAAATACCGCGGTGGCAATAGGCAAAACCACGATTAAACTTGCAAAAAGTTATCTCGAACCGCGGTTTTCCCTATTACCACCGCGGTATTTATGTACAGTTGTTTTGATCGGTTTTTGAGAAAAGCATAAATAGTCGGACTTTCGCGGTTTTTTAAACCGCAGTATTTTGCGAAAAAAACCGGCGGTTAACCGCAGGTTTCTTATAAAAATTTTCATGGGAAGTAACTAACGCTCACGTCTTTTTTGTTTTCTTTTTAGGATGTACAACACCAGCAAAAATTCACGCAACCCTAGCAAAATCAAAAAAAATAACAACCACATATATTCGGATTTTCCCAACACGAACAAATGAAGAACCGCAAATGAGATCAAATGATCGATGGCATGAAATAAGTCATGCTCTTCAAAATGGTCATGTTTTTTTTACTGAAGATAAGGAAACACATTCGTTTGGTTATGCAGGTGAATCGGAATTTACCAGTTTAGCATTTGTTGATCGTGGTACATCTTTTATGAGCGATACTTTGCATACGATCTATCATGGTGCTTTTGTGCGTACAAAAGATTTTTTTAAAATAGGTAGTTATGTATCATTCTCTGAAATAGAAAAAATGATTACTATTATGGACAGAATTACCAAACAAGCAGCCATGGTCGATAGCACGCTTTCTTCCATTGAGGGTGTGGGTGTGGGTGTGAATGGTGGAAATACCCGCACCCGTCGACACCAACACCCTATGTTGAAAACTATTAATTTTCATATTATCTCACTGAAAACTTGTTGCACCTTCATATCAATGTAAGTTTCATCTCTTCGCCTGATGCTGAAGGAAGTCTATCATTATCTGTCATTATCTATTGTTCAACGATGCCAACAGTTTCACATCATACACAGATGAGTATCAATGTATGTGGTTCATTTGAACTGTATTTCGTTTTACCAAAATTTTTTTCTTTGTTTTGCCGTCATTGTTTGTCTGCTCTCCACATTGTTCCCTCTACTGAAAGGAGGGTCATACACTGAGCAAGGTTCGTATGTTCGTAACTTCGTTCGTGCGTTCGTTCGTTCGTTCGCACAGACCGAAAAAATGTTTTTTCACCTATAACATCATCGATCTTACAACAGAGCTTCACCTTACCCAATCGATTAGTACAGATTCCTTACCCCCCCCCCTTCTCCGACAAATCAGATGTCTGCATTCCAGCCAATCAGATTTCAGGTGACAGATTTTCAGCCAATCATAAGTTTTCACCGTGTGGCTATGCACCAATGAGATTTCGAGAGTGGCCATTTGCACCAATCATAGGTTTTCTCAGTTTGGCTATGCACCAATGAGATTTTGAGAGTGGTCATTTGTCCCAATCATAAGTTTTCACAGTTTGGCCATGCACCAATGAGATTTCGAGAGTGGTCATTTGGACCAATCATAGGTTTTCACAGTTTGGCTATGCACCAATTAGATTTTGAGAGTGACCAATTGGATGAATCATAGCTTTTTTTTACAGTTTCGCTATGCGCTAATGATATTTTGTGAGTTAAGATTTGGACCAAGCATAAGTTTTCAAGTTGGTGTGGGCGTGTATGTGGGGGATGCATGTGGGTGTTGGTGTGGACGTGAGTGAGGATGAGGCTGAGGGTGAGGGTGTGGGTGTGGCGAGTGTGGGAGTGAGTTGAGTTTGGATGTGTGTCTGGGAGTGTGTGTGGGTGTTGGTGTTTGGTGCGTTTGGATGGGTTGGAGTGTGGGTGTGTTTGGATTTGGAATTGAATGAAACATTCTTATGCATATCGACACCGACATCCACACCGGATCCTGTACCAATAGACACCGTGTTTGTGTTTGAAACTGACAGTCTAGATTTGAGTATGGTTGGAATACCTGTTGGGGCAGTATTGTTGGGTATTTGCTGTGAGTTTTAATGATGTGTGGCAGTTAATGCTACCGTACTAGTTGTTTATAAAAGTCTATTGAATGAAATGAGGGTCGTTCGGTTGCCTTTAGTCCTCAATGCAGTTTGTGGTTTTGTTACGATGAGGTCACATGAAGGTGCACTTGTGAGTTTAGCGGAGATATTGGTAGCAAAATTTGGTTGACACTGCTATTCTTCTCTGAAATCGTCACTTAAAAAGTTTTCTTATATGTCGTGTGTCATATATAGCTTGTATCGTAGTGGATAGCTGTCAAATGCTGCTTGGGATGCCGGTTGAATGCACAAGCGATAGTGACTTTCTATCAATACGGTTCGTTTGCATAGTTCAAATTCTTTTCATTCTCTTTTGCCTTTATGGCTTTTATTTGAAATAGAGTTTCGTACAAGTTTTACAAAATGATCTATGGGCGAGAACTGTAAAACGCACAAATTTGGAGCATGCTATGTATAGTTTTTTATGCGTTAGGTGGTTTTTCTGAACATCACGGCACTCTTCAGATGTTGTTGTTTTAAACAATGAATTGAAAACGTTTCCGAGTATTTTGTGCTATTCTGTCGAGTCTTTTAAGTTCTTCTATTTGGGCCGTAGACGGTTTAACTTGAAGTGTTGCAAATTCAAATGAACGTATGGTTAGTAAATCGTCAAGTCTCGTTACACGAGATAATGGAACATATACCGATGCGAGTTCGATTGGGCCAGGTGATATCACCAGATCAACGATAATTTTACCGAGTGTTTGGCCTTGACTTCTATACGTTGTCATGCTATATACGGGTATAAGCGCAAATGCTTTACATTTGACCAAGAGTTTTCTTGTTTATTTTAGCCGCTTTTGCTACATTTTTTGGAAGAAGTTCTTTGGCGTCAAACAGAAATGTTTGTTCCCTAACAGCTATAGAGACTACTTTGGAAGACAGTTGAGCAAGTTTGTCATCAAGTTTGCAACCAGGAAATTCTACCAAAGCATACTTTGGTTGCGTTATAAACTTGGTATTTGGTGGAAAATTCTTATTCTGGTATCGAACATCTTTTGGTGATTCCTCGTATACAAATTGACGAAAGATTCCACGTGTACCGTTGGAGAGTCCGATCTCACTAGCGACGTTTTCTGTGAGTAAAACTGGCATTCCTGGTACGAGAGGTAAATACCCTGGAAGATGTTCTGTTTTATTGTTAGGTAGTTCAAGTATTGCTTGACGTAATCGTATATCATCTACAGTTTTTCCTTGAATATAATCTTGAGCAATGCATACAATTGTGGTAAGTCTCATTTCCATTGTTTTGTTTAAGACAGCCCTATTGTTAATTTGAATGCGTAGCGTATTCCGAAAAACCAGTATTGGAGCCTACTAGAAGAAAAGTAATGTGACACAGAGAAAATGAATGTGCACACTTCGCTCCATGGCTTTTGTTGTAGAGACACTTGAAGTTTTGGATTTTCTATGACTCTCGTACACAGAAGTTGGTAATCTTCTATTGTCGATTGTTCATGTCTTAATCTATTTAAAAGCTCCAAATATCTAATGTCTTCGGTTCGCATTTTCTGAGTTAACTCAACAACGCCGTTTATTTCAGACATAAGCTTCTGTGCACACAACATATCTATCTGACGTTCTGTAACTTGCTGTGTCGGTGCGCAGCTACAGTAGAGAGGCTTGTCCAAAGCAGGAAAATATCGGAGGTAGTCGCCGAAGAAAATGACATTGACACCACCAAAAGGTATCTCAGAATTTACGTGCTTCGCTGTTTTGACTATTCGATTTAGATGAGCTAAGAGACTAAAGTCCTACTATGCTCATCTCATCGATTATCAAGTACTTCACATGACGCCATTCATTTTCTAATTTCATATCACCAGGTCTAAATGTACGGGTTTGTTTCTTTTTACTGTTTTTGCGACTTTCACCTAAAAATGAATGGATAGTTAATCCGTCAATCCCAGCTGCTGCTATAGACGTTGGTGCCAGTTTACGCAACATCTTGTCCCGTTTTGTTAGTTGGAAATACTTGGTAATTGCACGAATCAACTGAGATTTTCCAGTACCACCGCAACCAGGTATGCACATTAATAACTGATTATCGATAGTACCTAAATATTAAGACTAACTAAACCTTACAACAAGAAAATCGAGATAACATACCGGTATAAGCATAATGTTTACTATCTAAGTGACTAGTAACAATTATAAAAGCATTTTTTTGCTGTATATTTATCGTAAATTGTTTGACGATATCCTGTTTTGTAGGAAATAAAATCGCATTGGTTGCAGTCACAAACGGGACTGTTGCAACTTTCGTTTTAATTGGGCTTGTTGGAATTTCATTACCTACGATTTCAATCTGTGTTTCATCATCTCGTATTTCCAGAGTATCTTCGCCTAAAATTAAATAGTTTCTTGTTTCATCTCGTCGGGCGTCAATATCCCGTTTCCATTCTTTAATCATGATCGTATGATGCTCGCGAGCTACGACAAATGTGTGGACGTCGTGTATGGCACCATAGTTATTTTCACCCAGAGAACGTGTACGGCCTAAATCAAACAAAATATTTTCGGAATATGGCAGTAATTAACTCACCATTGAGTAATGCAAATCTATCTGTATTATCAATTGCTTGTTATGCATCATGAACATAGCGTTGTTCGTGAGTAACTGTCAATGCTGAGTAAGTATTTGTGATGATCTCATTTACGATGGAAAGCATTTGCAAAAGCTGTTCAGGATCGTCTTCTTCAGTATTTTGATCTTCTTTATAGGGGTTAGGGATCAGAATAGGATAAATGCTGTTGTCATTTTGTGCTTCTAGAAAAACTTGATGAAGGTACTCATCTTGATTGCGCTTACATTCATGCAAAAGTTGTATATTTTCTATAATTTTGAGTGAACTAGAAGAGATCAATGGTTTTCGAACTTCCAGTGTCTCAGACCATGTCTGATTTAGTGCACAAACATCGTGGACTGATCTCCATGGCACGAATAAAGTTAACAATGCACGACAACAACGCTCGTGTGTTTCTTCTCGTTCGCGATGGAGTATTGGAGGACCAAGCAGAACTGGTACCACTGGAGTGGTACGTTTAATGATGATGTGTAATGATCATTGCGGGTGTATAGTTTCAAGTGTGTGTCGTTCGTTTATTTTTGTTCCTTCGGTATATAATCGTTCACCTTCATGCCCATTTTCATTCTTTAGTAAACGGCGGTCTGATTTGTCAATAACCTTCTTGGGAAAATGACTGATAAAATCATATAAGCATAATGCACTTAGATCTTTTGATCAATGCTAATAGTCCAGACGAGTGTTTATCATGACATACCC